CTCCTCACCCCGCCCCCCCCCCCCCTCCCCCCCCCCCTCCCCCCCCCCCTCCCCCCCCCCCCCTCCCCCGCCACCCCCCCCCCCCCCCCCCCCCACAATAAGGAATGCAGGGTTCCGCAATAGTTGGACCGTGGCCCTGTATTGATTCTCTATTAAAAACAATAGGCTGCAGATCCCTGAGGTGCTGTAGCTTTGCGTCTCCGCAAGCAAAACAAGAAGCCTGCCGACAGATTTTTGAACCCCCCCAAAAAAAACTCCTTTAAATGTGGGGGGTTTGTCCCATACGAAATCCACCCTAATGGAAAGTAGTCTTCCGGCGGGCTTCCGGCAAAAAAGAATTTCTTTAAATGTGGGGGTATAAATTAAACTGATGCTCGGATTAAACCCTAAACCCTAAACCCTAAACCCTAAGCCCCTTGGAGCTCGTGGTGCAGGTGAAGACGAAAGCCTCCGAGCTGATAGGGGCCGTGGAGAAGACGCGCGGTCGCGTTCAGAGCTTAGGGTTTTAGGGTTTAGGGTTTCGGGTTTAGGGGTTCGTCTTTGGGGCTTGAGGCTTTGGAGCATAATCACGGCCCTGTAGGCAACCAGGAAGCTGACCCTATCTCCTACTGGTGCTTACAGGGGGAAAGGGATGGAGGAGTAGGTTCCAAAAGCAATACCTATATATCCCGTATACAGGGTTTTTGGTTCAAATGCCCCATGGAATGCTATCTGTATTCACTCCACTCTCCCCCCTTACGCACCAGCAAGTCGTTCGCAACCAGTCGCCAAGCAAGTGACCTCCAAATGCTAGCACCCTATCTGGCTATATGAGGTAGACCCTTGACACCTTGGGACGCTTGGGACATTTCATATTTTCCTTTATTGGGTTTAAGAGGATCATATTATATTCAGGAATACTCTTCAGAGGGTTTTAAGGGCCATCCTAGCCATGATGAAGACTGAAGACCGGGCAAAGCCTGTGAAACCTTGCAGCAACCAACTGTCAGGCCTGGGCGGAGCTTTCGTGCGCAGAGGGTTCGCCTGCAAGGGCCCTCAGTTTACAAGGATTCAACCTGGATTCCAAGCCCTTGGAGCTTCCCCTCACCTCTTTACAAGTCTCAGCCCAACGGCTTAACGGCCCCAGGAAGATCGCCGGCGCTTCTGATCGCCTGGAGGCGATGCGGGCTAGGGCGTTTTGCTGGGGGAATCTGCTGAAGGCGGTTGGACGTGTGGGGTTCGGGGGTTTAGGGTTTAGGGCTCACGGCGTACCATGACGAGGGAACTTAGCAGTTTGGATGTCCCGTGCCTGTGATGGTGACTGAGTAGACAGGGCCAGAGCTAAACCCTAAAGCTCGTCCACTCAATGTCAAAAGCTCATCAACATTTTCCGGTTGGTTGGTTTGCTCAAGATCCTCCCCCGAGCCCCCTAAGCCTCTCCTTTTTCTTGCCCAAGCTTAAGTTGGCTCCTAGATTGTCTTTCTTCCTGAGTCTATTCCTTCTGGTTTGAGCATGTATGTGTTTTTGCTTTGAAAAAATTTCCTAAGCAATGGCCTTCTTGAAATTCCCCGTTGCTGGCTTCCATGCGCTTCCGACATTGTGTCTTCGATTGTCTCAGCACCAGCATCGCACCCGGTTGCGAAACGCGGATAATTTCTCATTGTGCTAGTAGAACATCCGAGGGAAATTTCCCGATGAGATATGCTTCAGCATTATGTCAAGCCAGGGAATGCTTTTGGTAAGGACGGGTCCGCCTTTTAACTCTTGAAAGGACTGGGTGGCCACCGTCAAGGAGCAGGTGCAGGGATGCTTGTAGCTTTCGGGTTTAGAGTTTAGTTTAGGGTTTGGGGTTTAGGGTTTAGGGTTTAGGGTTTTGGGTTTAGGGGATCCGAGAAAGCTTCGATGTGTTGAGGGCAGACTCGTCGAAGGCTTCGCAGGCTGCCCAACGACTGCACATGCCTGGACTAGGAATGCAAGAGCTACCCCTCCTTCAGCGGACCCCACCCTAAACCCTAAACCCTAAACCCTAAACCCTAAACCCTAAACCCTAAACCCTAAACCCTCAACCCTAAACCCTAAAGCCTAAACCCTAAACCCTAAAACCTAAACCCTAAACCCCGAACCCTAAACCCTAAACCCTAGACCCTAAACCCCGAAACCCCAAACCCTAAAACCCAAACCCTAAACCCAACCCCAAACCCCAAACCCAAACCCGAACCGAACCCGAAACCGAAACCCGAAACCCAAACCCAACCCCAAACCCCAAAACCCAAACCCCAAACCCAAAACTCCAAACCCCAAACCCCAAACCCTAAACCCTAAACCCTAAACCCCCCCCCCCCCGGGGCCTTCGAGTCTGAGAGGTGCTGGCCCAGCTTGGGGCCAACCGCGCCCTGCTGGTGGAGAGCCTGTCCGGGCTCTCGCTGCAGCTGCAGCAGGACGGGGTTTAGGGTTTAGGGCCTTTAGCCTTTAGGGTTTAGGGTTTAGGGGTTGAAGGGTTGAAGGGTTGAAGGGTTGAAGGGTTGAAGGGTTGAAGGGTTGAAGGGTTGAAGGGTTGAAGGGTTGAAGGGTTGAAGGGTTGAAGGGTTGAAGGGTTGAAGGGTTGAAGGGTTTAGAGTTAGGGCTGTAAGGTTTATAGGGTCTAGGATTGGGGGTTTACTCCAGGGCCTTCAGCGGAGGGTCTAGGATTCGGAGCTCCAGGCTTCAAAGGACTTGAGGTCCAGGATTCGGGGGTCTGGGGTTGCGAGTTTGGAGGGGCTAAACCCTAAGCCCTAAACCCTAAACCCCCAATCCCTAGAAGTCAAAGCTCGGCTTTCCGAAGGCGGACCTTCGGGAGCTCGTGTCCGGAGCAGCGTGGGACGCTGGGCATTGGTCATCGCTTTTTTGAGGGCTTGTTTTTCACGGCTTAAATTAGGGTTCCGTTGGCCGTAAACACTTTGGACCCTAAACCCCAAACCCCAAACCCCAAACCCCAAACCCCAAACCCCAAATCCTAAACCCTAAACCCTAAACCCTAAACCCTAAACCCTAAAACCCTAAACCCTAAACCCTAAACCCTCAGCCCTAAGCCCTCAGCCCTAAACCCCCAAGAGACCCCCCCGAACCTTATCCCCCGGCTTCGCAGGAAAGCGCCGCCGGTCTTCAGATCTTGGAGCGCACGCTGCTGCGGCGCCGATGAACGTTTAGGGTGTTTAGGGTATTTAGGGTAAATTTGGGGTATTTAGGGTGTTTAGGGTATTTAGGGTATTGAGGGTATTGAGGGTATTGAGGGTATTTAGGGTCTTTAGGGTAAATTTGGGGTATTTAGGGTATTTAGGGTCTTTAGGGCATTTAGGGTCTTTAGGGTCTTTAGGGTCTTTAGGGTATTTAGGGTATTTAGGGTAAATTTGGGGTATTTAGGGTGTTTAGGGTATTTAGGGTATTGAGGGTATTTAGGGTATTTAGGGTCTTTAGGGTAAATTTGGGGTATTTAGGGTATTTAGGGTCTTTAGGGCATTTAGGGTCTTTAGGGTCTTTAGGGTCTTTAGGGTCTTTAGGGTCTTTAGGGTCTTTAGGGTCTTTAGGGTCTTTAGGGTCTTTAGGGTCTTTAGGGTATTCAGGGTATTTAGGGTAAATTTGGGGTATTTAGGGTGTTTAGGGTATTTAGGGTATTGAGGGTATGTAGGGTATTTAGGGTCTTTAGGGTAAATTTGGGGTATTTAGGGTATTTAGGGTCTTTAGGGCATTTAGGGTCTTTAGGGTCTTTAGGGTCTTTAGGGTATTTAGGGTATTTAGGGTAAATTTGGGGTATTTAGGGTGTTTAGGGTATTTAGGGTATTGAGGGTATTTAGGGTATTTAGGGTCTTTAGGGTAAATTTGGGGTATTTAGGGTATTTAGGGTCTTTAGGGTCTTTAGGGTATTTAGGGTCTTTAGGGCATTTAGGGTCTTTAGGGTCTTTAGGGTCTTTAGGGTCTTTAGGGTCTTTAGGGTCTTTAGGGTATTTAGGGTATTTAGGGTTGAGGGTTTAGGGTTTGGTTTTAGCGGCTATTCTTCGGATCTTGTCGGAGGGTTTCGGTATACCTTTCGAACATTCCTTGCCGAGTCAAAGAAGGGACGAGGATTGTGGCTTTGAGTCCAGGTCGTGTATAGCCCTAACACGCACACGAATACTATCACTCATAAGAACCCTCGAAAAAACTCACACCCTAAACCCTGAAACCGTGTGGTGCAGAGCCGCGTCTTCAGCAAAGGCAAGCCATCTCTGTCTCGGGCGTGGACTGCACTGGAACAGAGCCACATGGCACAACGCCGAGAGTGGGTTTAGGGTGTAGGGTTTAGGGTTTAAAGGGGCTTCGGCCAGTTTGCAATAGGCAGACAAGCTCATGCTAAGTCATCGTCTTCTTTTGGCGCCCACTCCAGAGTATCACAGGTACCCCCCCAAAAGGACCAAGATTTCTCAGAACTGGCCTCGTAGAGATTCGCAACGCCCACAGGCGCCTGGCGGTAAGCAAACCCTTTACCCTGAATCCTAAACCCCACAATCCCGAAAACTGTGAAGCTTCCAAGCCCTAAGCCCGAAACCCTAAACCCTAAACCCTAAACCCCAAAGCTCGAGAATTTCACCCCCCGGGTTTGCAGGCTGCTGGATCGCTTCGAGAATTCCTCCTCCTTCGCCGACCTCCCGGCGCTCCGGGGAAGTTTGGTGAGTTTTTGGGGGTGTTGGGGGTTTTGGGGGTTTTGGAGTTTTGGGGGTTTAGGGTGTCATGGTGTCAGGGTGTCAGGGTGGTGCGTCAAACATGGGTAGATCATTCAGCCGCGACTTCTGCGAGCCTTGCTGGGAGCTCTGGCTGTCTACACGCGTGCCTTCGTCTCCATGTTGCCGTGGTGGGCAATCTGAGCGTTCACGCTTGACAAGGCTTTTTCACCATGTAATGTGCTGAATGCAAGAGAGCCCGTCCCAAGGGCGAATCAGAACACGCTAGAAATCCAATCAATCTAGACCCAAATCGCTACCCCAAGCTAGATCAGCACTTCGCCAGCCATGGATCCGCGCGCCGCGCGGTTGGCATTCACCACCCCGCCGGACCCGGCGAAGGTGATGGAGGTCCTCGCAGGCCTGGATCCGCAAGCTCAGGCGGCGATGAAAACGGTGGAGGAGCAGATGAGTAAGGTCCAGGCTGCCAACTCATCTCCAGCTGAGTGGAGAAAGCAGTTCCGAAAGAGGCGGGAGGAGAACCTGGCGTTCAACCATGCCATCAGCAAGACAGGGATGCACTCATTCTCGACAACCGCCAGCTTTGATACCAAGCCTCAAGGTGATCGAAAGCAAAAGGGCAGCTTTTGCCCATCTTTGTGAAGGAGCTGGCCGTGGGAACCACGCATCGTGGCAGGATCCTGGCAGGCACTATCTGCGAAGATCCGCTCTTCATTGCATCCTCTGCGTTTCTGTTGGAGGACGGTGAAGGGAATCTGGTGGAAGTGGCCGTGTACAACATTCCGGGCGCGGGATGGGAAGTGACTGAGCGCTTGTTTTACAAGGGAAGGACGCTGGCCATCCAAGAGCCCTGCTACAAGGTTCGCCAGGATGGCTCTTTGGGGATTCGTGTGGATGACCCCTCAGAGAAAAGCCTTCGACCTGCGCAGCCACCATCTTGCAAGGAAGTGCTCGCTGAACGGTGACGCGATCCACTATGGCTACTCAATGAACTGGCCCACGGAGGTTTACGGCTCTTGTATCATGGATTTCGATGGGCATTCCGAGGCAATCTCTGCCATCATCGAGGGGTCGCACTAGATGTGCGAAATTACAGCGCAGATGGCTCCTGCTGGGAAGCTTCATGAAGCTTCTGTTGCTCCCACTTCAGGACACACCCATGAACATCACGGGGTACTATCTAGCGATGGGGTTGCACAAGAAATGGACGCAGTACTTCTTTTCCAGCAAGATTGCAGGGAAGGTGCAGGTTGGCTTGGCATCCGTGCAGATCCACAATCCGTTGGATCACAGCGCGACTTGCCTGTCGATGACTTGGACTTATGATTTGGATGTGAAGTTGAAAGCCTTGATGGCAGCCAGCCAGATGATGGCACAGTAAGCACGCCGGACTGCCCGGTTTCGTGAGGCAGCGCATCGGATGAAACAAGGCTCAAGACCCCCGTGCGTGGACCAGAGGTTCTGCAACGCCCTCAGCTACAAGCCCTAGTCTCCTCTCCCCTTACAGTCTAGGTTTAGGGTTTAGGGTTTAGGGTTTAGGGTTTAGGGTTTAGGGTTTAGGGTTCAGGGCTTAGGGCTTAGGGCTTAGGGCTTAGGGTTTAGGGAAACTTCCCGGCAACGCCAGCCAGGTGCTCCGGCAAAGCTCCGGCAGCTTGCTCTCGCTGCTCGAAGACCTGCACTTAGAGGCTGTGGAAAGGGGTTTAGGGTTTAGGGTTTAGGGTCATTTTTGCTGGTTGGAGTTTTGAAAGGTTTTTTTCGCGGTCGGGTGAGGAGGTGTTGAGCCTTATCCACCCCCCTTGGGGCATAAACTGAACAGTGATCCAAGCTGAGAACAGCTCCAAGGTCCAAAGCCCCAAAGCTTGACCCCCCCCTCCCCCCCAAAACTCCCCCCCCCCCTCTAATGCCTTAGGGTTTAGGCTTCATTCCCTCCTGCATGTGGGGCAGGTCCCCGCAGCAGTTCGGCAGCTACTCGAGGCATCCACTTGAAAGCTGACCTTTGGGGGAGGGTGTGTCTATGAGGGGTTGAGGGGTTAGGGTGTATATGAGGACGTTAGGGTTTAGGGTTCCTTGGGAAAACCCTAAACCCCAAAGCCCAAACCCCATTGTTGGGAAACCCCCACTCCTCCATAGATGTCAGCATTGAGAAATTACATAACCATCGATGGCAGACTTCGGGAGTCGGCGCCCGGCTTGGGCCCATTGCGGTTTAGGGTTTTATGGTTTGGAGTGTAGGGTCTAAGGGTTTTGGGGTTTGACAGTTTGGGGCGTATGGTCTTAGGGTTTTAGAGTTTAGGGTTTCAGGGGTTTAGGGCTTCAGAGTTTAGGACGTAGGGAGGTGAATGTCACAGGGGGTTGCCACTGAAGACTCCTTCACTCAGACCTAGGCCATCCTACTTATGCTCAATGCCCAACAGCATTGATGGTGGCCTCTTAGGTACTTCAAGATAACGGGGGAGAACCTTTATTCTCATCCCCGTATTTCGCAGCCACCAAATGGCAAGACCCTAAACCCCAGATCCCACATTTGGTAGATCATCTTCACTCGGGGATGGTATATGTCTCCGTCTTTCAACGGCCTGTGCCCTGTTTTTGCAAATTGTTTTCCGCGAAAGGCCCAAGCAGCTGGACGGGCGCAGGACTGCCAGAAGCCCCATTAGGGCTTAGGGTTTATGGTTTAGGGATGCAGCCTCTTTGATCGGTTGCAAACTGTACTGAAACTCGGACAATCGCATGTTGCCAGGCCTTTAGAAATTCTCAAAATGCTTGGAGCACCGTGTACTTCTCCACTCAGAACCGGGCGTGCAGCATGCGAGAGGTTCAAGTCAAGGTTCTCTGCATATTCGCGTGGTTCATACCCCTGGCCAATGTGTTGGCGCTTAGCAACTGTGTGGCTGAAAGTTTCTTCTGACCAAGGAGCGTCAACCAGACGAAAACCAAGATAACCTCATACCCGAAGCCCCAAGCCCCAAACCCTAACTCTTCATTTTTGACCCCTAAACCCTAAGCCCCAAACCCTAAACCCTAAACCCTAAACCCTAAACCCTAAACCCTAAACCCTAAACCCTAAACCCTAAACCCTAAACCCTAAACCCTAAACCCCAAGCCCAAAGATCCGATGCCTTGGCAGGATGTGGCCAGCTGGAAGGCGGCTTTGGTGAGCAGCCGCTCGCCTACTCTTGGTTTAGGGTTCAGGGTTCAGGGTTCAGGGTTCAGGGTTCAGGGTTTAGGGTTTAGGGTTTAGGGTTAGGGTTTAGGGTTTAGGGTTTAGGTTTTAGGGGCCCAATTCCCTACTATAGGGGTCGGAACAATTACGAATATTATTCCATCAGGGTCCTTTCACAATTATGCTAGAACAACCCCCAAACCCTATTCTAATTATTCAAGCCCCAAGATTGCACTCGGGCATCGACACTCAAGGGTGTTTTTGGTTTAGGGTTTAGGGGTTGGGAATGTACCCTACAGGGCTTAAGGTTTAGGTGATCCTCTTTGTAAACTCCTTAACCAATGGGATGTTGATGAGCTTCTTAAGCAACCCCGAAGCACTGAGCTCTTAAGGCTCCACGGCTGAGGGGAAAGGACTTGACGAACCAACCCTGCACCCTGAGCAGCTGAGACGCTGACTTCAACCCATGACAAGCAGGCTTGAGGACGTGCCTTCTGCAAACGCCCCGATGTTTCTCCAAGTTATTGCCCCCTCGACCCCCCGCCCGCCTGTGCCGGGCCTAGCCATGCGCTGTGGCCGAAGCATGCTTACGTGAGAATACCGCGATTGTTCCACCTGTTTCCGTGAAGTGGAAGCCCAAAACCCACATCACAGTCCTCGCAAGCTCGAATCCGTAGAAGGACAATCCAAGCCCTAAGCTGGCTGCTAAACCTGTCAGAACCGACTTTCCGCAGGCAGCTAGTGTGCGGTAAGCACGTGTGATGTCACTTGTTCAGAACTGCATCTGCCCCGCAGGGATATAGGCTCTGTTCACCTAGCGCAGCGAGTCGACTAATAAGGGCCTGAATAAGTAGAAAAGGGTTTTTGAGGGTCATCATAGTATATTCATAAACGGACCCTAAGGGAATACTATTAGCAATTATTCCGACCCCTATATTAAGCTTTTCAGCACGGCAACCCGTGTTTTGGAGAAGTCTTCTCGGAACTTGAGACATGATACTTGCTTGTTTCAGGGTTTAGGGTTTAGGGTTTAGGGGTTGTACCTCCAGCAAGATTGCCCCGTGCCGTGCGCCGAGGTCTCGACGACGATGTCGTGGTCCAGGTCCATGCAGCCTGGGTTTGTTTTTGGAGTGTCGGGTTCTCTTGGCAAGTATACGGCCCCAGCCCTTCTGCGTGTGCTAGCGCTGCAATCGATGGGTTTTCGGCAAAGCTGCAAAACAAGACTTCTTGCAAACAGATCTGCACAGAACCCTAAAGCCTGAACTCCAATCCCTAAACCCCAAACCTTGAATCGGGACAGCTCCGGCCAGTCATCTGAACTGATATCCCCGAAAGCCATAAAACCCTGAAAGCCCCCCGAAAGCCATGCGCAGGGAGCCTCCTCGCTACTAGAGCAGGGTGAACGCGTGCTCACCCAACTCCAGGAGCTCTCTTGTTTTTTGGGGAAGCAAGTGTGAGTTTGGGGATTCCGTTGCGGCTTTGGGGTTCTTTTTTTTGGGGGTTTACGGTTTGGGGTTTAGGGTTTGGGCTTTAATCCGAGCACCGGTTTATTTGGGGGCCCCCCCCGCAACAATAAGAAAGGCAGGGTTCTGCAATAGTATGACCATGGCCCTGTATTGATTGTCTATTAAAAACAATAAGAATGTATTGACACAGTATTGACTCTCTATGAAAAGCAATGGGAATGTATTGAATCTCTATTAAAACTGAATAGCAAGACCAGGGCTCCCCCCCCCCCCAAGGCCTCCCATAATTGTGGTCCCATTTTGTAAATGTGATGCTGTCTTTGCTAGGCAGGGCCCACAAGGGGTAGCTCAGGAAAGAATGAAAACTTCTCTCCTCCAGTAAGCAATCACATAAGAAATCCAAGCTTTCTGAAAGGGCCTCAGATTATGGGAAAATCAAGCTTCGGCTTCTTTAAAGCTTTTACTTTTACTCCAAAAAAAAGGAGCCCGAGAATTTTTTTGAACCCCCCCAATTTGTTTCTTTAAATGTGGTGGTATTTCCCCATACGAAATCCCCCGTAATGGAAAGTAGTCTTCCGGCGGGCTTCTCAGCGAAATAAATTGCTTTAAGTGTGGGGGCAGGCGTGCATTTCTCTGTCATGCCACTGTTGACTCTGCATTCTTCCCCTTGTATCTTCTGTTGCTCGTGACCTTGTATGTCTTTGACATGTCTACACCTCAAACGTAAGCCATCCAAACCCTAGCCAAACCCTAAAACCGAAACAGTTGATCCGTGGTGCGGAGCGCGATTCCGAGCGGTCCATCTTGCGCGCGTTCGGCGCAGAAATCCCTCCCGGCATAGACATGCGCGCATATGTTTTGACCCGCAGTTTGCTTTTTCGTCTGCGGTGCTGTGAGAGATACCGAGCTGTGATCTTTAGTGCGACACATAGGCGGTTTATCTTTCGGCTTGGCGCAAGAGTCACTCGAATCGTACAACTGTGCGCACTTTTTTGTCACGTGCAGGGATTCATCTTGCCCCTAAACCCTAAACCCTAAACCCTAAACCCTAAACCCTAAACCCTAAACCCTAAACCCTAAACCCTAAACCCTAAACCCTAAACCCTAAACCCTAAACCCTAAACCCTAAACCCTAAACCCTAAACCCTAAACCCTAAACCCTAAAGCACTGCCAAATGAAGCTCTTCTGATTCTTGCCATCAAGGAGCGAATGAGGGCGGCATGGACAGCAACCGCCAACCCTCAAGGGTTTAGGGTTTAGGGTTTAGGGTTTAGGGTTTAGGGTTTAGGGTTTAGGGTTTAGGGTTTAGGGTTTCGGCTTTATGGTTTAGGGTAAGCTGCACACCCTAAACCAGTCTGATGCTCTTCACATCCATACCATGCACGGAGAACCTGAAGAATGCTCTCAAAACCTTTCTCCGAAAACGCGCTGAAACCGGAAAACCCTGTAGATACCGACAGACCCCATCCCAGGAAGTGAACTCGCTAGGAGGGTTTAGGGCAGAGCCCCTAAACCCCGCCAGAACCCTTAAACTCCCAGAACCCCTAAACCCCCAGAACCCCAGAACCCCTAAAACTCCAGAACCCCTAAACCCCCTCAACCCTAAACCCTAAAACCCTTAACCCCGTAGCATCGCCAGGAGTGGAAGAGCAGCGAGGCGGCTTCGCGGGTGTGGGGTGTTTTGTAAAGCATGGAGCCTTTCAGATCCCAAGGAACCCGAAGCCCTATGAGAGCAAGAATGGAAGTACCCTAAAAGCCCTTAAAAACCTACAAACCCGCAACCCTAAGCCCCACAGCCTAAACCCCAAACGTACTTGGCTCAAGGCCTTGGGCACGGATGCACGGTTGCCGGCGGGCGTTGAATAGGCCCCAGGGCCCCCACAAAGGCAAAGAAGCATAGAGAGGTTTAGGGTTTAGGGTTTGGGGTTTAGGGTTTCGGGTTTAGAAGCCTGGAGACGTTTTGGGCTAAGGGTTTAGGGTTCCAGTTGCAAAAGGGAACAAGAGTCTTCGTGTTGCCTGTCGAGCACTTCCGTGACTTTACCCTGCCATGGCTTTCGTGGCGCTGCGGTATGCGGAGCTAGCGACCCGCTGGCCGCATCTGGTGAGTGGGATGACAAGCTCAGCGATCCTGACTTCGGCGGACATGTTCTGCCAGGGCATCATTCAGCAGCCGGGGCCGGAGGGGCTCCCTGGAAGGAATCCAGGGCACGGGTACTGTTGTGCTAGTCTGCTAGTTGAACTCCAAGGACTCTAAGGCCTTCAGCCCCAAAGCCCGCGGAAGAAGTTGCACAAACCCCAAACCTTAAACCCAAAACCCTAGACCTTGACCCGCAACCCTCGACCCTAAACCCTAAACTGTAAACCCTAACTCGCAACGCACACAGCGCTCTTCAAGAAAGGCTCGACTACCGGAGGACAGCTGGCCTCGCGTCTTTCGGGCTGCTCTGGTATGGTGGACCTTGCAAGTGGCTGTACCTGTGCATGGAGCCTCTTCCTGTCTCCCCATTGGGTGCCCTTCCCGAAGCCCTAAACCTAAATCCTAAACCTTAAACCCTAAAGCCTAAAACCTAGCGGTGTAGTAGAGTAGCTTATTAAATTCACCTTTTTTTTAGGGGAGGTGAGGGGGGTGGACTCAGTGCGTGAAGGACCTTGGTAGGGGGAAAAGGGTCCGCTGGTGGGTTGTTGCTCTGGGGTCCGAACCTTGAAGATGGACCATCGTGTTGCGCCGGAGTGTTGCCGGGGCGTAGGAGCGTAGCGAGTCAAGGGCACCAAGAAATCGATTCAGGACCGATGGCTGGGTGCAAAGGCTACATTTCAGAATGTTGCGGCCAAGACCTTCGTCGATGTTTTCCTTCACACTCCCTTCGGCGTCGTTCCGGGCTTCTACTTTGTGACCGGCGCCTTCAAGGCGTTGTACGTGTGGCGGTAGGACGTAGGAATGCTAGCTTCAGAATTCTTGCAGGGGACGCCCTTCTGATCAACAGAAGTAGCAGTAGCACACTGTAGCCCCGGCACTCGTACCGCACCTGAACCCCCCCCGTCACTGCCCGGCCTTGCAGGGGGACAGCCTGGCGCAAACAAGGGAGCAGCTGAAGTCAGAGTGGATGCAAGCATCCATGGGCTCCTCGATGTTTCTTGGCTGATGCTTAGTTGAGGGTTTCCGATATTCGGGGTACCTTATTGGGGGGTCCTGGGGATCCTACTAGATGGGGGTCTTTCTTAGGGGTCTGTTTTTTTTAAATCGTAAACCCCCAGTTCGGTGTGCAGGGTTGAGAGTTTTCGGGGCCCAGGGAGCTTTCAGCAGAGATGGCGGTGCAGAGACAGGGTTTGGAGCAATCTTTCACAGTGTGAGGACATAGGTCTCGTCGAAGAAAGCAGGGATGCCGGGAGATAGTGCAGAGACCTCCTGTGCACTATAACTACTACGATATACATGTACATTATATACCACTCTACACACTAGATTATAATATTACTGTTAGTCCACTTACCGTTCGCACACAGTGTCTTGTGCCTAGTAGCCCTCCCCTCCAAGACTGACCGATTTGCCATGTCACCGTATGTAAGGGGCGTTGGGAGTTGACCAAGTAAAGGCTATGACTGATCAAGGTTTTGGACGCCTGCGCAAATTGGGAATTTCTGGCTCGTACCCCAGCACTACAAGATCGCCTACATCTCGGTCTCTTGGGTATTCTTGAGAACTGGTGGGGTTCGGCATGCTGCGTGGAGTGCTAGTCGGTTGCCTAGTAACTCAAGTGGGGGGTTGCTCTTCTGAGGGTCCCCCAACAAGCTGCAGATAAACCCTAAACCCGAAGCCCTAAACCCAAACCCTGAACCCTGAACCCTGAACCCTAAACCCTAAACCCTAAACCCTCAACAGGGCACTCAGGTCCTCTCCTTCTTCCACAAGACCTGGCTTTCCTTTTTGTCCAACAAGGAACGCTACGCCCTGCGCTCAGGACATGGGACCGCCCAGGCGACTGGATTTCGGGTTTAGGGTTTAGGGTTTGGGGTTTAGGTTTTTTTTGGGTTTTTCGGGGTTTAGGTTTTAGGGTTTGGGTTTTGGGGTTTGGGGTTTAGGGTTTGGGGTATAGGGTTTGGGGTTTTGGGGTCTAGGGGGTTTAGGTTTAAGAACTCAGCCCTAAACTGCAACTTTTAGTGTTTCTGATTTCAACACGCAGATGGGTTGAGAAGCAAGCAAACAACGTTCTCGTTCATTTTGTGGTTCCGTACTGTTTCGGTTTTCTTTAGGGTCCGTTTTTTGTTGTAGGTTCAAGCACTTTTTTGTTTGTTTTCGTTTTTGCGTTTAGTTTCAGGGTGTTGGCTTGCACTGTTTCGGTTCTTCGGCTTGGTTCAGTTTATGTTTTGTATGTTTATGTTGTTTTGTTAGGGGTGGGGGGGTGGGGGGGGGGGGTTGGGGCCTTTTCTTTGTTTAAGAGGGTGTAAAAGTATCTGCGACACGGAATGAAAACATTACATGGGCTGCAGAGCAAGTCAGCCCCCCCTCCTGCCTCTCCTCCCCGCCCCTTACAAGATCAAGAGGGTCCAAAGAGAGTTAAAATACGATCCTCATACAGTGCATCCGAGATCTCATATAACATCTCGTTGTTGTTTAATCTTCATGTGTCGTATCCGAAGAACACATACTTCAGGAGCCAAGGAAAGAGTCGCAAAGAGTTGTGCTTTTTGGTTCTCAGCACAAAAAAGGTTACGGCTGAAGCATATTTCGCCCGAAATACGGTGTTTGTCAGCGAAACGCTTTGAAACAGTGCACATTGCATTGTTTTCGAGTTAAAGCCCAGTGGCTCCATAGGAGATATTGAAGACATATCTATACTACATCTAAATATAAATACAAATATACATGTATACAAAGAAATAACTATCTATATCTATCTATCTATATATACATATATATATATATACAGATTTTTTTAGCGCAAGCAGAACCATCTTTTGCATTGTACTTCGCAATCGGAGCATAGACCCAGGCAGCCACGCTGCCCGCTACACCCCTGAGCTCTCTGGCCGTGGCAGCTGATGGTCTCACTCTTTGAACTCTTTGACCATGCGCCCCACGGAGGGCGTGAGGGCCACCGGGTTTCATAGTTCAAGGTTTTCAGGTTAAAGGGTTTGGGGTTTAGGGTTTAGGGTATCGTAGCTTAAGGTTTTAGGGTTTAGGGTTATAGGCATCCTGCTGAGTTGGTGCGGTGACGCTAGTCGCCGTGGGCCAGCTGCTGCAGGCGTCCATGTTAAAGCGCTAGACCTCGTGGCCCTTCTAGCCCAGGAAGCCCAGATTCATGAAGATGAAGCCTGGACCCTCCTGCAACACATCCCTCGTCTGTACAGCTGTACAAGAACTTCTTGCTGCTCGGGCCGGCGCGAGCATCGCCGCTTTCCTGCCCGCCAGCCCTTCCTCGAGTGACTGATATCAAGCCGTCCAGCTCTTTAGGGGCCTTTAGGGCTTCAAGATTTTTTAGGGCTCAGGGTTTCGGAGTCCGAATTTCTACAGCCTAGGTGAGCTGCTGCTGCGAGCTCATCAGTCACTCCAGGATGATCTTCCTTCTCTAAGGGTTGGAGCAAAGCAGAAGAAAGCATGATATGGCCTGACTTTAAATGGGCCAGCCTTCCCCAGCTTCGTGTGCCCACGATCTGGTGGGCACCACGACCCCAGATCCCAAGATCCCCAGATCCTGCCCCATGGAAAGAAGGGGCGTGTCGGATGCCGAGCCTAAACCCTAAACCCTAAACCCTAAACCCTAAACCCTAAACCCTAAACCCTAAACCCTAACCCCTAAACCCTAAACCCTAAACCCTAAACCCTAAACCCTAAACCCTCAACCCTCAACCCTCAACCCTCAACCCTCAACCCTCAACCCTCAACCCTCAACCCTATACCCTATACCCTAAACCCTAAACCCTAAACCCTAAACCCTCAACCCTAAACCCTCAACCCTCAACCCTCAACCCTATACCCCATACCCTAAACCCTAAACCCTAAACTCTCAACCCTCAACCCTCAACCCTCAACCCTCAACCCTCAACCCTATACCCTAAACCCTAAACCCTAAACCCAAAACCCAAATGCCTTCCAGGGCTCCTGGAGCTCCTTGAGCGACTTGCGAAGCATCTCCCCAAATCGAGACATCTGAAGGGAGACTCTTCCCCTTTTGTTGAGGGTTTTTGGGGTTTTTTAGGGTTTAGGGTTTAGTTTTTTTTTTTTTTGGTTGGGGGGGGGGGGGGTTTAGGGTTTAGGGTTTAGTTTTTTTTTTTTTTTGGGGGGGGGGTGGTAGGGTTTAGGGCTTAGGGTTCAAGGTTCTTTTTGAAATCAACCACCTCCAAAGAGGTTACCCTTATTGCAATATGGTTACTGGGCTACTTTAAGAAACCCTAAACCCCAAACCCCAAACCCCAAACCCTACAACCGAAATCCCAAAAACCCAAATAGAGACCCTGAAGCATTTGATTCGGAGGCCGTGGCTCGTGTCGTGGAACACCTGGAGGGCGAGGACGGACGGAAGTGACAGGGCAATTTAGGGTTTAGGGCCTTTAGGGTGCAGGGTTTAGGTTTAGCGCCTTTAGCGCCTTTGGGGCCTTTAGGGCCTTTAGGGCCTTTAGGGCCTTTAGGGCATTTCGGGTTCAGGTGAAATTTGACTTACCCTATACCCTGATGCCTGACCCTGAAACCCTGACCCTGAAACCCTACGCCGCCGACGCCCTTCTTCCTTTCGGGGCCCCAGGACTTGGAGCGGGAGGTGATTCAAAGGCTTCGCGACTTCAATCCGGACGAGGCCGGAGAACTGCTAGACTCCATCATGAAAGCCCCCAAAACCCTGAACCCTAAACCCTAAACCCTGAACCCTAAACCCTAAACCCTATATCCGGTGGAGGAGGTGTCTGAGAGCTTCTTGATAGAAGCTACGAGGTGAGACTTTACACGGCCAGTTTTCCAAGTTCCGGTCTCTTTTGGGTGTCTCTTGCAAGAGGGGTCGTGCCTCAGAAGAAGGGCCCGAACTTGGAACAACATCCACATCTCTGCTGAAGGATCAAGAGGCAGGCGCCAAGGCAAATCCTAACAGGTCCGCGGGCTTGATTTAGCTGGGCTCGCAAGTGAGATCCCCCCCCCCCTCTACGGCTTGAACCCTAAGCCCTAAAGACCTAAACCCTAAACCTAAACCCCAAACGCCAAACCCCAAACCCTACACCGCAAACCCTACACCGCAAATCCTAATCCCCAAATCCCAAACCCCAAACACTCAACCCAAAACCCCAAACCCGAACCCCAAACCCTACTCCGCAAACCCCAAATCCCTAAACCCTAATCCCTAAACCCTAAACCCTAAACCCTAAACCCTCCCCCTCACTTCCAAGGCGCTGGCGCAGGCCGAAGATGCCTGGTCCAGCGTGGAGACGCGCGAGGAGCTCGTGAACCAGCTGAAGGACGCGGCAAGGATTAGGGTTTAGGGTTTAGGGTTTAGGGTTTGGGGTTTAGGGTTTGGGGTTTAGGGTTTAGGTTTTAGGGTGGTTCTAGAGGGGGTTGAGGCGCTGCTCTGTGGTGCGAGTCTGTGGCCGGAAAGGTGGCATGTTCCGTCATGGTGGCAGTTCCCTCTGTTTAGGGTTTAGGGTTTTCGGGTTTAGGCGGTTTAGGGTTTGGGGCTTAGGGTTTAGGGTTTAGGGTTTAGGGTTTAGGGCCATTTGAGTTGCCAAGCATGTTGTCTTCACGGGTTCTTCAAGTTGTCTTTCCGACGTCTTTGGTGTTCTTTGTTGTTGAGATGGCCGTGGGCCGGAAGCGGGAGGGGCGAAATTGAGGAATGCGTTAGGAAAGAACCGGTTGATTACAGAAAAAAGACAGAGAGAGAGACAGAGAGAGAGAGAGAGAGAGAGAGAGAGAGCGTGAGTGAGAGTCATCCACAGCACCTCCTGCGCGCTAGGTTAAAGCCACCACAAGATAAGAGGGAATTGTTTTTGCCAATTTTGGGGGTCCCCTTCACAGGGCCTTTTTGGGGTTGTTAGGAGGAAACACTTTATGATGTCAATTGTCAACTAGGGTGAGGGTGATTGTGTCCTGCAAGAACAGCTCGGTGTGACGGAAAGATTTGGTGCTTTCTTGTGAGCACGCACCTTCTCAACACTTGGCATTGGGATGCTCCCCCTTAGACTAGGATCATGGTACCCCCCCCCCCCCCCCCCTACCCTATTAAGGATTGTTAGTATTAGCTGGGGGCACATCCCAAACTTGGCATTCAATGGAGGCCTTTGGCCCCTCCTCCTGCAACTCCCGGGCAGGACACTTGTCTCGACTTCATCCTCCGCATCTTGCCGGCCATCCAGATCGAAAAGGCACTGGGGATGGGACCCTAAACCGTAATTCCTAAAGCCTTCAGCCTAAAGTCGTCTAGTGCTTGGTTCTTCGGCATAAGGCGCGCGGGTTCAAGACTTATAGGCGGTTGGAGGAACTGGGGCTCGAAGCAAAGTTGATGTGTCAGCTTCGGGTCTCTGTATCACAGGCAGCTCCTAGTTGAATACGTGAGGGTTTATTGGGTTTACAGGGTGTATAGGGTTTACAGGGCTCATAAGGGGTTAGAGGGTTCATGCGTTCTGTAGAATTTGTAGGGTTTTAGATCTCCCAGCGACTCGGACTTTGAAGCAGTTGTGGGTGACTCCGAAACCGTCCCTAAACCCTAAGCCCTGAGCCCTGAGCCCTAAACCCCAAACCCCAAACCCCAAACCCCAAACCCCAAACCCCAAACCCCAAACCCCAAACCCCAAACCCCAAACCCTAAACCCTAAACCCTAAACCCTAAACCCTAAACCCCAAACCCTAAACCCTAAACCCTAAACCCTAAACCCTAAACCCTCACAACAGTCGGATCGCAGAACCTCACGCAGAGTGTCGAGGCTTAGAGGTTCACTCTTTTGCGCGCGCACGTGGATGGTCTTCGGGGACTTGCGCGCAAAACCCAGGGCTGATAGGGTTTAGGGTTTAGGGTTTAGGGTTTAGGGTTTAGGGTTTAGGGTTTGGGGTTTAGGGGTTAGGGGTTAGGGTTTAGGTTTAGGGTTTAGGTTTTAGGGTTTTGGGTTTAGGGCAGGCTAGGGTCTAGGGCAGTTTAGGGTTTAGGGTTGCAGGTGTCCGGCAATGCCAACGATTGCGATTACGAGATCAGCGAGCCTTGGGTCGAATACTCGTGAAGAGGTTATGACTTGCTGTCTTCCTAGGATCCAGAGTAGGCCCTTATTCCTTTATTACCAAAAAGGGTACCCTGTTTATTCCTGGCATACTCTTGGGTCTAGCTTCTCAAGCTCCAAGGCTTTGGGAAATCTTCGGCCTGCTAGCTAACATGCTGAGGGTTTGGGGTTGAGGGCTTCGGGGAGTCCAATCAAGAATACACCCTTATTCGGGAATACTCCTGAAATCACATTAGGATACTAAGGTTTGTCGGCCTGTTGCGAGACAGGGTCCGGGTTCTGAAAGCCTCGTAGCATGCCCAACCCAAATGGTTTAGGGTTTGTAAGGCTTAGGGTTTGGGCGCATGAGTGAACTTGGAGGGAGAGAAGCTATGAACTGAAGGTGCCCTGGAAACACGCTGGGGTCTTGGGAAGCACTCCAACCATGCACGCTCACGCCGGCAGACTTGTGACGTTGAGGTACGGACATACGTACGTACGTACACACGTTATACGTACACTGCGTACATACGTGTGCACACATGCATGCGTGCATATGTGCATACGTAAATGCCAGTAGGTGCTCGTTTACCGTTTTCCGATTTGCATGATTGTTTGCAGTGTTTTCAAGTTTTGTTCTCTGACCTCTTCCATGTGTTTCTGTCCATTACGTCTATGCCCAAGCCTTGCCGGACATGTGGTTCATGCTTTGTATATTTGCGTAGCATGTTCCAAAGGACATCCGCTTCTCCGACTTCTCCTTCCGGAAAGAAAACGTCTGCTACTCGGAGCTTCCTTTGCAGATCATATTCTGGGACGTCCAGAAGTGCTGGGTTCCGGACAAGGGCAAGGGCATTTGTTCTGCCAAGGCTTGTATACCGTGTGTTGGGTT